AATGCTAATTGATATCTAATGATGTCATCATCAAATTAGTAATAATCAAACATAATGTAAGTGAAGATTGTTCATTTAGAATTAAAAAATAAAAACAGACTGTTACATTTTGTGTTATATTGACTCGAGATGTAAAGACGTCGTGTGAAAGAATAACATAAAAATCTTGTAACATAGAAAAGTTATTAAACTGAAGATGAACGGTGGCTAAACATGTTTCTGTTGAGTGTGAAGGATCTACATATTTGTTTCATGTGAATCCAGCAGGTTATTTTTTTCAGTGAGCGTTCCACTGTGCCGCGTATAGCGAGGCTTTTATTTTGGCGGTCTGTTTCAGAGAGCCAGGAGCAATAACCTCCTGATGTTTGTTCACAGCAAGAAGCTCAATGGCAAAAAAGCCCACCTCAGATCTATAAGATTAATCTTCCACTGAAACAGAAACACACACACACACACACACACACACACACAGCTTGTCAGAGGCCACGCCCCTCCGCAGTTATATTCCAGTTTATCCTGACACAGCTACAGAACAGCAGGCGTCGTGTGAAGCTCCAGCATGTCGGAGGTTTCAGCTTCAATCATTTGACTGTTAAATTGAAGAAACCTTCGTCACTTTCTGCTGCTAATTACCTCCTCATCATCATCCGCTGTGATCTGTTCCTCTCTAATTACGACCGCTGACCTCCGACTGATGTCGGCGCTGCGAGTGTCTGCGCTCGTTTCACTCGTGTCGTCTGGACTCAGGTTGGGGGCTGAATGAGACTCGTTAGATTTAAAGGTGACGCTGTGCTGAGAGAAGCGATGATTGATTTATAAAGAGCTTCACACACTGAAAGACTTACAACTAAATAACAACGCACTCAACACACCCGACAAAAATCCCTGCGAGAGCCCAGAGTTCATGATTTAGAGGCGTGTGTTCCTCCCCTGTGGTCATGAGCTGAGTCACAGGTGGATTGAAAGCCTTTATTGTCATCATACATAGTATAATGAAATTAGAAACCGCTCTATAAAAGTCCACACGTGCTTATAGCACATTATAAAAACTATACAATAATTTAACTATACACTTACTATAAATATAAATATACCGCACAGTGCTGCAAATTGCGCGAACTCCGAAGCGTGCGGTCGCTGGATTGGGACACGGCTTATATGACCAGACCGCTAAAAGCCCCCTGGTGGCCATTATAAACACTGCAGGTTTGAGGCATTTCTACTGTGTCTTCAGGAATCTATGTCCATCTTTTCTGTACAGTCTGTGCTCCAGCTTGTGCAACATTTAATCCCGCCTACCCTGATTGTTTGGTCAGTGAAGTAAACTACTTAAAGTAAATCCATCACATCCATTTTCTCCTGCTTATCCAGGTCATGGTTGCACTGGCATGGCATGTATCCCAGCAGTGTGATCCCACAGTCAGTCTATCGCACACACAGACACGCCCAGCAGCTTGTGGGGGTGCAGTGCTAACCACTGCACCCCCGTGCTGCTGATGCACTCAGGGTTTTAATCAGCGATAAGGAGCATGAATGCTGAGGTTTAATATGAATTTTAATGTAATTTTTCCAAGATGACCAGAAATTAGAATCTAAGTTAGAAAATATGAAGACGTTTGTTGACATTGTGCTACAAGCTGAGTTTATTAGCTGCATATCAGAGTTTGGGGATGTTTCTGGAATGCTGCAGATGGAAAAATGTTGACAGAGAAGTCACGAAATCAAAACATGTTGAGCCGTCTCAGCTGTTGGAGAGGACGTTCAGGCTCACTGGGCCCCGTCACGTCTGCACCACTGCATCACTGTGTTTCCAACAGCAGCAGGTCAGATTCCACGTCTTTGGCAGTCGTGAAAACCAGTGTTGATCAAGTTACTTGAAAAAAGTAATCAGTAACTAATTACTGATTACTTCCCCAAAAAAGTAATCCCGTTACTTTACTGATTACTTGTTTTCAAAAGTAATTAATTACTTAGTTACTTTTTAAAAACACGATTTACAACCTGAATAGGTGATAAAGTGATAGATCTTTCAGCCCAATTCTACTTTTTCTGCATAATCATCATACAAAATGTAATCAAATGAAAAAGTCTCTTTTTAAAACTTGTTTTATTAGTTTTAATCTTTTAACTTTATGCATCAAGCAAACATTTAATTACATGCAACATTCTCTGACTGAAGAAATTTGTTTAACATTTAAACCTATTTTCTGCACATTCCAGCACATAAAATAAAATATTTGACGTGCAAACGCTGCAGTTCCTCCAGTGACCACTTGAGGCCTTCATCCAAAACTGAGCCCATCTCCATTGACTCCAATGAAACTTTTATAACCTGTTTGTGGCTGCTTTGACTGACAGGTGGGCGGTGACACAGGTGGCAGTCACAGCAGTCTGTAGGCTTCATCTCAGCTGATCCTCCTCTGCTGTTCATTTAAAGTGGCAGCTGTGAGGTTCATTGTCCTAACAGACTCTCTGTCTGTGTCCCAGCTTTGGGTTTTTAATCAGTGCTGATCAATAATCAGCAGGTATCTGTGCCCTCGCTGTTTGAGTTAGATGTGCTCAGTCTTGTGTTGTGCACTTCGACAAATGTCATCACTATTTCACATCAGCATAAAAACAAACACGTAATTTTGAAGAAGGCGGAGTTAAAGTCCTGTTCGTAGCTCGAGGATACAGTGAAGCTAAGCAGAGAGCCTGAGGTCAGTCTGCACCGGGCTGATCGCACACAGCTGAGGTGCAAACGTGTCGCAGCGTGATGAAAGCTGTGCTTCACTGTGAGCCAGCAGGAACACGTTTCCAAACCAGCCGATGTCTCTGTGCTGCAGGGCTCTGGGCTGCCTGCTCTACCAGATGTGCTGCCTGACTCACGCCTTCCAGGGTCCAAACTTCCTGTCTGTGGTGATGAAGATCGTGGAGGGAGACACGCCAGCGCTGCCCGCCGCCTACTCTCCAGATCTGAACTCTGTCATGCGGAGGTGAGGAGGACGTCAGGCTAACCGCTCGGTGAAGTCTCCCAGCGTGCTTCCAGTCAGACGGCTCACGTTAATAAGCAAACACCAGGCTGTCCGTGTTTTGATCCTCAGATCATCACCGAGACAGAGAGTGCACCCGTCTCCTGTCCCAGCATTGTCCTCTGTCAGCTGCTATGAATTTACCGAGTGTGTCACTGACTCTGAGCTTTAACCAGCTGCTGTTTGTCTCTGTGTGAACAGGATGCTGCAGAAACAACCAACATCCAGACCGACGGCGGCTCAGATCCTCAAGAGCAGATTCCTGGAGGAGAACATGCAGGTTGGATTCTTTAGTTAAGCATCAGCACCAGGTGAGCTGCAGGTATCTGAGCAGAGCCTCCCACCCACTGTGTCATTCTAACAACACCTGACTCCACCCCCTCAGCCCCAGCTGGCAGATGGCCCCGCCCCTCCCTGAGCTTCAAGGTTTCTTCCTGTTAAAAGGAAGTTTTTCCTTCCCACTGTCACCAAGTGCTTGTTCATAGGGGGTCATGTGATTGTTGGGTCTCTATCAACTTAAAGCACCGTGAGGTGACTGTTGTTGTGTTGTGGTGCTAAATAGATCAAATTAAATTAAACTAAAAAATAATAATAATTAGTGAAACTCTAAGAAGCATCAGTTTTATCCAATAAAAGCTCGATATAAATCTTATTGAGCAGAAATCAAACAGAATAAACGTTTACAAGTT